TGTGTTTCGTTGTGAAAGCGAAACTACTTTGTTTGGCCTTCCAAAAGAGGACGATATCCGCTTCGTCACGCCTAGAGCTGATCCGTGCTGGTCACTGAGGAAATACATTAACTTCGTGCTCTGGATCGCCGGATCAGCTTTCACCGTGGACGAAGCGGAGTCCAACCCAGGGTCGTCACATGTGGTTGCCGCAAGCTCACCCGCCACAACTCACTCAAGCTGGCCTCTGCTCACTCTAGGCCTCTGGCCTCCGCTCACTCTAGCCTGCTGTGTGTGACGCTGTGTTTCATTTTAAAAGTGAAGCTACTTTGTTTGGCCTTCCAAAAGAGGACACGACTAGAAATCAGTGGTTAAGTTGTATTTACAACACTGTTCCAGAACAGTTCAACCCAAATATTCCGATGTGTCCAGTGCATTTTATGGAGGACTGCTTCCTGATCCTGGTAGAGTAGACTACAATGCCGGATGTTCTGACTCACAGACTGTAAGTACGTTTTTATATTTAAAGAATTTGCCACTAATGATTCAAACTCGAGTTTTGAGCAGTGTAGAGTAGCGTTTATAGTTTGTCATTTCTCTGATCACAAATGCAGACATGGTTTTATGTTTATGCGGCGCGATGCAATGCAATGCGTAAAAAGACAGTAAAAGTCATTATAATCTGTAATTATGTCCCCACTGGATGCAACACATGCCTCATTTATAATGAGTTTATAAACGCCGCTCATCGCTCCGGCCGGGACAAGGCATCACAATATGGTAAGGGGCGTAACATTTCCGTCACAGGCTTGAGGTATTCGGCCAATCACAATGCACTCTTGTGTAGCCTAGTGAACCAAACTGAGAGGCCATTTTGAAGGCTCAGGAAACCTTTGCAGGTGTTTTGAGTTGATTAGCTGATTGGCATGTCACCATATTCTAATTTGTTGAGATAGTGAATTGGTGGGTTTTTGTTAAATGTGAGCCAAAATCATCACAATTAAAAGAACCAAAGACTTAAACTACTTCAGTCTGTGTGATTTGAATTGATTCAATATACGAGTTTCACAATTTGAGCCAAATGAATCACTACTGCTCTGACTCTGGCTCCAAATGAATCACTACTGTGCCGACTCATCCAAATGAATCACTACTGTGCCGACCCGGGCTTTAACTGAATCCCTACTGTTCCAACACGGGCTCCAAATGAATCACTACTGCTCAGACTCTGGCTCCAAATAAATCACTACTGCACCGACCTGGGCTCCAAATGAATCACTACTGCACTGAGTCAGGCTCCAAATGAATCACTACTGTGCCGACTCAGGCTCCAAATGAAGCACTACTGTGCATACTTGTGCTCCAAATGAATTACTACTGTGCCGACCTGGGCTCTAACTGAATCACTACTGTTCCAACATGGGCTCCAAATGAATCACTACTGCTCAGACTCTGGCTCCAAATGAATCACTACTGTGCCGACTCAGGCTCCAAATGAATCACTACTGTGCAGACTTGTGTTCCAAATTAATCACTACTGCGCCAACTCATCCAAATTAATCACTACTGCGCAGATTCTGGCTCCAAGTGAATCACTACTATGCCAACTTGGGCTCTAAATGAATCATTACTGCACTGACTCAGGCTCTAAATGAATCACTACTGCGCTGACTCATCCAAATGAATCACTACTGTGTTGTCTCGGGCTCTAAATGAATCACTACTGTGCCGACTCGGGTTCCAAACAAATCACTACCATGCAGTTTCGGGCTCCAAACGTTACTGGCACGAAATGATAGTGGCCATACTGGGATGTTTTGGCTTCATGTTTCTATAGTGGAGGGAAGTGGAGATGCATCGTAAATCTTTTTTTACAGTTAACAGTTGAAGCAGGTAGTTATGTTCTTAGGACTGCACATGCGCATTGGCCAGACCAGCCTGAAATATAAGCTTTTTTAACACAATTTAAGCATAGGAAGCAACATTTCTGGCACAATTCACATAAAATTTTGTTCCTGGTTTGAAATATGGTATTTAACTGTGAGTACAGCCAGCAGTTTTTGAGATTTCAGGATTTCCCCATTCAAGTAGATTGGACTCATGGATTGGATTGGATTGGAAATAACTGCCCGGAGGCGTTGCAAATCATGGCTGTTGAGTAAACAGACTTTCCTTGAAAGGGACTTTGACCCAGTTAAACATATTAAGAAAAGAATTGCATTTTATAGAGTTATTGTACATGCAGAACAGAAAAGGTCAGGTGTACGCTGATGTGACCCCGAGCCATGCACGAGAGCGTGTGTATGGGAACGTTTAGAGTGGAGGAAGCTCAATAGCAGCATGCTGAATAGGAGTCGCCTCCAGCACAGTGAATGCAAGGCAAGGTTGGCCTCTCAGACTCAGTATTCCACAGCATGGCACTAATGCTCCCTGGCAGACGCCAGCTTTGAACAGCGTTGCCCTGTGGGCATCTGGTGCGAGTCGGGGCCGTCGAGGCACTGCCAGGGAGCCTCTGTATTTAAATTCTCTGTTTACTGACTCTGCTGTGAGCTGAGACTTAAAAAATCTTTTTTGAAAGCATAAGTGAAATGAAAAGCTTTTAACTTTTTTCTCAATCCCTCTCCCTTTTTTTCTTTCCAGGGATCTGGACCGGAATAATATCACCCGGATCACCAAAGTGGACTTCTCTGGCCTCAAGAACCTGCGCGTGCTGTAAGATGTCACTCTGTATCTCTCGCTCTTACAGTTAATCCTTCCTTTAACTCCCAAGTTCCCCTCCTCTTCCGTGTTGTCTTTACAGTTAAAGCCATCAAAGGGTTCGAGGCTGAAAGCCGGGAGGATTACGGCACAAGTCATAATAAAACAAACTGACATTTAAGCTGAGTAAATCCAACACATTTAACATGACCCTGTGACTGAACCTCGCATGAAGTCATTGCCTTAGATGCAGTCAATCTTCAAACTTGTTCTTAAGTTTGAAGAATATGTAACAATATATTCCATTCCAGAAACTTGAACCTTTAGAATAAATAAATAACGGACGGTTGCTCGGAGAGGTGCAGGGCAGCGGTGATCTCCTCTGGAGAAAGTGTTCTTTCAGCTTAATGACTGTAATCATGCATTTCTCTATGCTGTTTTCTTCCTTAACGAGAGCCCGTAAAGAGAGTGGAATGGAGATAAAAATAAACAAGTGAAAAAAGAGGAGTAAAATAAACGCCCAAGAGAGCAGTCGTAAGCCGAGGCAGTGGCCGGCTGGGCAGCACCGAGGCAGTTTAAGGTGGTTTATGATTAACAGTCATGGCATGCACCAAAAGCTGCCTCTCCCTGGGCCCTGTGAACAGCCTCGGCACCCTCTTATCTCTCTGGAAGGTCCAATCACACCTATGCACTCTCCCACGCGTTAGCTTCACTGTGACATGAATTTTCCCATGCTAAAAGAAGTGAGAAGTGTAAGCTGCACTGTGTTTTATTATTTTTTAATAATAACGTTAATAATTAATAATATTAATTATAATTAATAATATTAATAATTAATAATGTATTATTTTTAAATGTAGGTTTTTGGGTAGTCACATCATAGAACATTTTACAACCTGAACTTACCTTGCCTTGTCATAACAGACAAATAATCTTACATTATGGAATTTGTTTAATGACTTTAAGATACAATTATGAGGCTCTGAAGTGTTTCTCTTTATGAAATCACATGACTTTGAAATGCATGACAAATGTTTTTCAAACTATTATTATTATTATTATTATTTGTAGTAGTAGTAGTATTAACAGTATTATTATTATTATTATTATTATTATTATTATTATTATTATTATTAATATCATTATTATATTTTGTGAAAATATTTTTCCTAAGAAGTATACAATAATTACTTGGACAATCAATCAATCAATCAATCAATCAATCAATCAATCAATCAATCAATCAGTTATTAATTCATAAATATTAAAACGTTTTTGGAGAGTCGCACCACATGACATTTCATAACCTGAATTAACCTTGCCTTTTCATAACTTGGTCAAATTATTTTTTTAAATGTTTTTTAATGACTTTGACATTTTTAAATGTTTTTTAATGACTTTGACACACAATTAGGGGGTTTTCCCCCCAGCATGTGTCTGCATTTTGGTTGCACCAAGTGACTTTTGATTGACAAATGTTTTTTAAACATTCATTGGCACTGAGCAGTTTTGTTAAATGTTATTTATATTTTTGTTTCCTAATTAATAAACAATAATTCGATATTGAAATTAAAAATTGACCTTACTTAAAACTTTCCCATTCAAAAGTCCTCAGGGAAGTGCCGTCTGCACTGACCTGGGACCTTCCTATAAACCAGCACTTGGTTATAAATGTATAACAAATACTGTTCCAGCAATACCATGTGTGCTGCCTCACCCTTTCATCAATTGAGAGGTCTTCTGCTCTCCTTGTCAGCCCCTGTGAAAGCATAGGTGTTTGCCTGTGTCCCATATGTTTCCATGCAAAACTTCAAAACATTTCTATAAAGACAAGAAAGACAAAGAACAGAAAGAGGGAGATATGCTGAAAAATGAAGAAAAAGAACTGTTATTATTCTTCAGCATACACCAAAACCCATCTGGTCGGGATCGAAAGGGATTATGTTTAATGCGAATACATAAACCACGGAGGGGTTGATCCCCCATTTGTAAGAATGAGCCAGATAGTTACTCAGGCTCAGATTTATGTTAGATGCAGACTCTATGATATGTTAGTTATCAGCGAAGAATGCAATTATTACGAACAAATCAATTTAGGCTTGCCCTGTTGGATGGCTTGTGTTTTTGGCCTGCCATGCTGGATTGTGCCTTAAAGCTGCGGCATTCGTAAAAAAATTAATAATTAATAATGTATTATTTTTAAATGTAGGTTTTTGGGTAGTCACATCATAGAACATTTTACAACCTGAACTTACCTTGCCTTGTCATAACAGACAAATAATCTTACATTATGGAATTTGTTTAATGACTTTAAGATACAATTATGAGGCTCTGAAGTGTTTCTCTTTATGAAATCACATGACTTTGAAATGCATGACAAATGTTTTTCAAACTATTATTATTATTATTATTATTTGTAGTAGTAGTAGTATTAACAGTATTATTATTATTATTATTATTATTAATATCATTATTATATTTTGTGAAAATATTTTTCCTAAGAAGTATACAATAATTACTTGGACAATCAATCAATCAATAAATCAATCAATCAATCAATCAATCAGTTATTAATTCATAAATATTAAAACGTTTTTGGAGAGTCGCACCACATGACATTTCATAACCTGAATTAACCTTGCCTTTTCATAACTTGGTCAAATTATTTTTTTAAATGTTTTTTAATGACTTTGACATTTTTAAATGTTTTTTAATGACTTTGACACACAATTAGGGGGTTTTCCCCCCAGCATGTGTCTGCATTTTGGTTGCACCAAGTGACTTTTGATTGACAAATGTTTTTTAAACATTCATTGGCACTGAGCAGTTTTGTTAAATGTTATTTATATTTTTGTTTCCTAATTAATAAACAATAATTCGATATTGAAATTAAAAATTGACCTTACTTAAAACTTTCCCATTCAAAAGTCCTCAGGGAAGTGCCGTCTGCACTGACCTGGGACCTTCCTATAAACCAGCACTTGGTTATAAATGTATAACAAATACTGTTCCAGCAATACCATGTGTGCTGCCTCACCCTTTCATCAATTGAGAGGTCTTCTGCTCTCCTTGTCAGCCCCTGTGAAAGCATAGGTGTTTGCCTGTGTCCCATATGTTTCCATGCAAAACTTCAAAACATTTCTATAAAGACAAGAAAGACAAAGAACAGAAAGAGGGAGATATGCTGAAAAATGAAGAAAAAGAACTGTTATTATTCTTCAGCATACACCAAAACCCATCTGGTCGGGATCGAAAGGGATTATGTTTAATGCGAATACATAAACCACGGAGGGGTTGATCCCCCATTTGTAAGAATGAGCCAGATAGTTACTCAGGCTCAGATTTATGTTAGATGCAGACTCTATGATATGTTAGTTATCAGCGAAGAATGCAATTATTACGAACAAATCAATTTAGGCTTGCCCTGTTGGATGGCTTGTGTTTTTGGCCTGCCATGCTGGATTGTGCCTTAAAGCTGCGGCATTCGTAAAAAAGCCTTTGGTTTAGCCAAGTGTCTCATCTCTTCCTGACAGAATGATATGACAAAACATGGATTATGGCTGTAAAAACAGTTGCGTGTCTAAACATTTGCTTTAAAAACCTCATTCATAACCCCAGAAAGCGGAAGTCCAATTTACAGACACTTTTCTTCAGAATTGTCTCTTTTTTTTGGAGGATTGCTTGTATTATCCGGTGCTGTGGCTGTGTGCGTCCTATGCGTGTCACTGCGCGTTTGCCCTGATTCAAAGAGACTCAAATATAAACAAGAAATAGCCATGGAGATGTGCTGTCTTTGTAATGCATCTGGAAAATTTTAAGGGCCCTGAAATATGACAGCGTCTAGAGGAGAGCTCTGAAAATACCCTCCAGTATGTCGTCACAAGCATGCTGGACACGAACGAGGGTCTGCTGAGGCAACCACACACTTCATAAAATCAGAGAGAAATCTGCTCTGGTTTTCGTGAGGAAAGCCTGCATGCTTATCATTCGCTGTTGTGAGGTCCTCTAGTTCACTTTCAACTGTCATTTCAATCATTCAAGAGACCTAATCAATGTCAGTTGAAGTTGAATTGCCAGAGTTGATTGGATAATGAAGTTCTTTTTCCCCCCCACAGACATCTGGAGAACAATCAAATAAGTGTGATCGAAAGAGGAGCATTTCAGGATCTCAAACAGCTTGAGAGAATGTAAGTATCAAATTGAAGGACTGATTAAACTCGCCTGCTTGTCCTGATACATATTGCATGTTTCTCTATGTGTGTTTTTGACAAAAATAATTTGTTGCTGTTTATGTGCACCACATTGACCTTGTCAGTTTTAATCTAAAACATCTTCACAAAAGCGAAAGGAACTTTGCGACTTTGAAGGTGACCTCCATAACTTTCATTTCAAGTCCAGCGGGTTTACGTGCTCGTTTGCCCCTTGACATCTGGAGCGCAGCCATTTGCTCTTTTCTGGTGAGAATCTTAACACTTCCCAGTGAAATTGACCATAGGGTCAGACCAAACATGCTAGCTATTACTGCCGTTGGACAAGGTCAAAGAATGTCTGGACTGTGGTTTGCATCCTTGAGTTTGTTTATGTGTGCATGTCTCAGTGCGTTTCATTCCTTGTAAATGTTTGCACGGTTCTGTCTGTGTTTAACCGAATCCGTTGGCAGCTGCCGCCGCACGTTAGTGACGAATGTACATCAAAATCAGCAGCCGTCATGCAAAGAACCGAAGTTTATCAGTATGTTTACCGCCGCTGAAGAATCTGTCTCTGTGGTGGTTTTGTGGGACTGGTTTATCTGGGTCTTAAGATCTACATTCCTCATTGTGTCACTCGTATTTGGAATTTCACAGCGTTTAACTCAATGACCCACTCTCGACGGCGAGCGCGTCCACTTGCATTCCCTCCATCTGACACCCGAGTGTGACTTTTTGTTGTTGTTGTAACCCATAAATAGTTGACACATAAATAGCTTGACCACATTATGACAGTAAGTGCTCTAATTACAGAAACAGAAAGAACAGAAATGTTTTCATGCTACACATTGTGAATAACAGTGCTTAAAAATAGATTATAAACCATGGTTCAACAATCAAAGGGGTCAAATGTGAGGTAACTCCTCCCCTTGATCCCTCAAACCCTGACATCAAAGCATCTGAACCGAGGTCAATGACAAATAAGAGTGTCTACGATAAAGAAAAATCAGTCACACTTTATTTTAAGGTCCAATTCTCGCTATTGATTAACTATTAACTACGACTTCTTAGTAAGGTAGTTGTTAAGTTTAGGTATTGGGTAGGATTAGGGATGTTGAGTATGGTCATGCAGAAAATGTGCTTTATAAGTACTAATAAATAGCCAATACACTAGTAATATGCATGCTAATAAGCAACTAGTTCAGGGCTGTCCAAACTCGGTCCTGGAGGGCCGGTGTCCTGCAGAGTTTAGCTCCAACTTGCCTCAACACACCTGACTGGAGGTTTCTATGCCTAGTAAGAGCTTGATTAGCTGGTTCAGGTGTGTTTAATTAGGGTTGGAGCTAAACTCTGCAGGACACCAGACCTCCAGGACCGAATTTGGACACCCCTGAACTAGTTAATAGTGAGAGTTGGTCCCTTTACTAAAGTTTACCGAAAATACTTTTTTTTTTTTAAATCTACTTTAAAACATGTTGAGGTTTTAGAACTATGCTCTTAAGCAAGCACTTTGTTTTATTTCATATAATATTTATATCTTGATTTTTATTTATGGTGTAAAAACAATTTTATATAATTTAAGAAAGGATTACATTTAATTACTCTAAAAACATTAATATTGTTAAATATTATTACCATTTAAAATAACCACTTTCTATTTTAATATATTTTAACATTCTAATAAAACATATTTTATTCCTGTGCATTTTCAGCAGCAGAGTTTAGTGTCAAATTCAGAAAATTAAGACATGCTTATCATAGAAAAGGTATGTTAAGGTCATTGTATTTGTGAATAACAGTTTTAATGTATTTTTTAATAAACTGATAGAATTCTAGTCATTGACGCACAGATTTGCATAGCATAATAGACCTTAATCAGGTTAGATGCCATACTGAATTTAACGCGAATGAAAACGAGGCTGTGAGTTTTAATTAAATCATGTAATTTTCACAATTCACTACTGTTTTATGGAGTTTTTCTACCAAAGGAGTTTTTATAAGGAAGTTTCATCAGTCATCTGTATGTTGTTAAACAGCAGTTCAATAAATTGAATTAACTGTAATTTAATCCCTCATAGTTTTGTCATTCCTGGCAAAAATGAAATATGGGACTGCCCTGACTAAGGTCTGTTGCAAGATTTCTATATAGTATTTTTGATATTACAAGATGTTGTCAAGCAGGCTCAAGTATGGAGTTGAGGCTCTAGCAAGAGAAAACCAACTTTTTTCTTCAAGAATGAGTCTACTTGAAGGCTACAGCAAGGAACTGAGTTATAAACGCTGTAGGTCCTCAAAACAAAACGCTAGTGATGTTCCTCCTCCACATACCTTTGGTTTGCTCTGTGACCCTGCATCCTATCATCAAAACCCACACTCCCGTGATAAGGGTCATCCTACCAAAGCCCACAGTCAGTCTGGCCAGGCTCATGTGAGTGATAATAGCCTTTAAAGAGTACTGCTGGAGATAACCTAGGCCATCTTCAGAGGAAGTACATTTATTTCCCTTCAGCCCAAGCACAGCTGTGACTCCTGACCCCAGGATGTAGCTATTGGCCAGTCGTGATGCTGCTGATCCTGATAACAACGGCTTGTTGCTTTAATCAGAAACACGGATTGGTCTGTCTGTGTGTCGTTTGTGTTTGCCTTGTTGTCTCATCCATCTAGGTTTTCAGATGCCTGCGTGTCGCTCTGCAAGTCAAGCAACCTTTCCATCTTTGTTTTCCTGGTTTTCACTCTCTCTTTCTGCCTCGGATAATCTAACTACCCACTGATCTGTGCTCTGCGTAAGGCCATTCTCACGGTGTCTTACGTTTCATTTCTTCCCTCCTGACTCTAGATGTTTTGACCGCACTAACTCTTGCCCTTCCCCTGTCCTCTCTTCCTCACAGCCGCCTGAACCGGAACCGGCTGCAGGTCCTGCCGGAGCTGCTGTTCCAATCCACACCCAAGCTGGGCCGACTGTAAGTCATCGCTTCCCTTTGATATCCGTGCCTGGAAAAGCTTGCGGTCAAACTTCCCACTGTTTTAATTTTGATCATTGTACTGGAAAGGATCTTGCTTAAATATTTGACTTTCCCAAATGCTGTTTAAAGGACACTGTCAGTGCAGGCATGTTCTGGGTGTTATTCCGTCAGCCCATCCAGATGTGATTCTCTTAGACGGACCGGGAATCCGGGCCAAGCTTAATGTGACACGACCTCTCCCCGTGCTCTTGATGGAGAGGAGAAGGTGCACTGGAGGGAATATTTTACTTGGATAAATTACATTCTTATATTCTGAATATTTTCCTGCTCTGCTTTGAGTCAGGGACATTTTTGGCTTAGCAGTCGGGGGATACTTCATTTATGAATTTACAGTTGTCAATATAACTAGCGCGATCAGGTCTGGTCTTACAAGTGTTTATTTGAAGCTGATTGTGACACAGGAGTCACTCTAGACCACCATTAAGTTCTGTGAGCAGCTTTGTGTTTCTGAAATGTTTCCATGAAACAACAGAGATTAGATTGACTGGCATTTTAAGCTTTTTATATAATAGTTTCCTCGGTTTGAAAGATTTCTAGACATGAGCTCGTCATTTACAAGCTACTACTATTGCATTGCACGAATATACTCTATGACACATGGTTGGTCACAGAAGTCAGGACTGCAAATCTTTTTTACAGCCAGAAACTCATAAAACATGCTTTTCTAGCTTGATATTAATGCATTATATAGACTAGAATTGGAAATGACAGTCCCGATTTCAAGCCGATATGGATAACCGATACTGATAACTGATACCGATAACCCGATAATAATTTTCGGATATAATTTTATAATGATAATATGAAAATATAAGTTTGTCTAAGTAAATGAAAAAAAAATGCTAAAAATCTCAAATTAATAAATGCTGCAAGTGAATGTAGGCATCACATTATAATGTACCACATGAAAAATCGATTTAAAAAAACTGGTCGCTATTTGGCTGTTATAATATGTATTAGAAAGTAGATTGTGATTGTGCATCCCTAATTTCATGAAGGCAGAGGCAGCGATAGATGCTATTTATACTAAGTGCAAATAGCAAGGATGCTGTTTACACTATGTAAAAATAGCAGCATTTTCTTTGCAATAAGTGTAAATAGTAGATGCTGTTTATACTTAAGTGCAAAAAATGGCAGATATTTGGCTCTCATTATTATAGTACATTATAAAACAACATGCGGTAATAACATATTGAGAGTAAATTGTCATATTTCTTAAAATTACTAAATGGAAGCCACCTTATATTGGGACAATAAAGCCCTCCCTACACCTACCCGATAAAAATGCCACCATGCACTTTACGGCCGACGCCACTGAGCCTTTCGTACAACACACGTCTTTTGTAATGTTGTCTACGCCAACCAGACATTGGTGGGTGGAGCTAGTGTAAATAGCCTCTGCCAACAAGTTGGGCTATTTGCACTTAGTGTATTTGATATTTATCTATTATAAATATATATTTGATACTTGTCTAGATTTTGATATTTGTCTATTACAGGGAGAGAATGAGCAGGCTGAGGTAGAAGTACGAATGTTTACTATAAACGTCTCTTCTTCTCTTTTCCACAGCAAATTTAAAGTACAGTTTATTTGTTCCATCTTGTTTTAACATTTTCTAAATGTAAACCGGAGTACGCCTAATGAAGATTGTCCAGGGCGGGAGCGGTTTATGGCAGGGTTTGTAACCTTTCCTTGTCAGGGTTTGTTACGCTGGTTGACGTTAGTGCGATATGAACGGCCTCACCCGTAACCTTCCTATTAAAAACCTCAAGCGCGGCCAGCTGGGGAAAGCAAGCCGAGTGTGTCGCACACAGGAAGGGTTAGGACTGGAAACACTGACAGGGGTCAGGGAAAGGTAAAGAGCACGATTTCACAGATCGTGTCTGAAGAGTTACAGATTTCACTGTGTGGGCTCAAAAATGCACCTCATACTCAGTGCGAGCACACTTACACACTTTATCCATGGGATCGGTCAGGCTTCTAGAAGTTCTTCCACCCTTGCCCTGTTCTTAGAAGGCTGGATCTTTCCGTCTAGCCGGTGAAAGCCTTGAACATGCCTGCTCCTATTTATTAACGGTGCAGCTAAATGAGACCTTATATTAACCTCAGTTCCTGTTCGGAGACGGGCCCCTGTGCTGGTAGTGTAGGATATTTCGGTCAGTGGTACCCATGAGACCCAGCCACTCCCTGCATTAACCCGAGTTCAGGTTGCATGTGATTGGTGCATTAAGAGGAATAGGAAAGCAGAATGCATCATCTTGTCTTATGTCCCCTTGCCCTCAGCCAATTTTAAACTTTCTCACTTTAATCTTCTGGATGCAATTATCCTGGCAGTTGGTTGGCATGAAATGACCACCGGACAGTGGCGATGGCCTTTCATAAATACACAGATTGATCAAATCTCGAGTTTGGGTGCCGAGACTGGATTTTTCTTCCCTCTGAGAGCACATATTTGTTTGCCATCTCAAAGGACATCTTTTGTTTCTCTCGTTCTATCCATGACAAGTTTATTTTCCTTCCAAACGTTTGTTTTCTTTTGTTTAACAGAAACAAATCGCTCTCCCACACATTGAGTTTTCTCCCCTCGTGCTCTGCCCCGCTCCTGTTGGCCCGAAGCGGTGGAGTTCAGCTCGACAGATGGGGGGGGGGGGGGGGGGGCCAGGGGGTCTGGCTCTCTCAGCCATGCAAACACAAACCATCTCTCAGCTCCAGCCTGGATCTCAAACATGACTCCAGAAGTCTGCATCCTCTCTGAAGCCATTTAGCTCATTGGTTCCCTTAATGAGCTCTCCATAGCGTGCTTCAAAACGATTGCTGTTTTTACCGAGTGTGCTGTGCTTTTAAAGTTTTGTAATGACTTCTTATGGCGCAATTGTTTAATAGCTTATTAACCCTTCACCTTGGAATATCATTCCAAACCTGTGTGATTTTCTTTGTTTTGTTGATGACAAAAGGAACAATTTGGAAGAATATGCGGGTCGTGCTTTTAAAAAGAATGTGGACTAGAGCTTGAATACCATAAAAGTCCCCAAAACAGCATAAAAATACCATAAATGTGGTTCATACAATAGTTGCGCGTTGTTCAAACGTTGCTTAAGTCAGCTTTGTGTGAAAAACCAATCGAAAGTTAAGTGGATATCCACTAAAAGATATTTCAATCCAGTGGGCTGTTAATTGCTGAGACCTGTTAGATGCCATCGAATGTCAAGTCAAGTCAAGTCACCTTTATTTATATAGCGCTTTTAACAATACAGATTGTGTCAAAGCAACTGAACAGCATTAATTAGGAAAATAGTGTCAATAATGAAGTCAGATTTGTGAACAATATTTGAGAGAAATAGGCCTTTTGTGTACATAGAAAAAGTCTTAGATCTTTGAGTTCAGCTCATGAAAAATGGGGGCAAAAACAAAAGTGTTGCGTTTATAATTTTGTTCAGTGTAATATAATGCTAAAGCTCAATGAAATATATTTTTGAAGTATAAAATACATTAATTTCAACCTTATTTAATTTATATAGTTTCAACCAAATTATATTTCTAAATGTATTTCAGGGCAAGAAAATTTAGGCTAAATACAAATGGCCAATATATTGCAATATTGCATTTTTTGGATCATTTTAAATTATGCTCCTTGCTGAACTTTATTAAAATGTGTTATGTTTAAACTTGTTATTAACAACAAATCAATTTTTCTTCAAATGTAACATATGTGAATGCATTTTCTTAGACTGAAATATATGGAGGGCAAAATATATTTTGAAATGCTTAAAAAATATATGCATACATTAAAATAAATTTTTAAAAATATACAAAAAATGGCGAAAAATATATTAGTAGAATATATATGTACGTAAATATATTTTTAAAACATTTTAGCATTTTTTGACCATTTTGAAATATATTTAAAAATAAAATTGAAAATATATATTATTTGCTTTATGGGAAAGGATGAAAAGATGTCAATTAACTGTTCACAAATCACTACCTCTCTCAAGAAGTCTCATGAATGCTCATAGAGAGATAGCTAGGGTGGATTTCCAGTCTGTTCCTCTCACATAACTATTGTATGTCTTCAGAAGACTGGGAATATAGTGCATGATTCATATGAACTACTTTTACAGTGCTTGACAGTCCCAGTCCTAATTCACTTTCATTATAATGACTGGCCGTGACTGACATGAGGGTGTGTAAATAATGACAGAATGTTCATTTTTGGGTGAACTACTCCTTGAAATATTTGGGTCCCGAAAAGCTATAATAAAAACAAGCAGTTGTTGCTCTGCTGTTGTATAAATGGTAATTATCAAGTAATAAGGGATAATACTGTAACTCTGTCATTATATCGCTGTGTAAAGCGATGCAGTGTTTGTCTACCCACAATAGCTGGCTAATAATTCAACATGCCCCAAGCACAGAAACCATAGAGCTCTGGCTCAGGGCTTTCAGAAGAGGCCTACTGATTGTTTTCAGAGGAATGAACCCTCTCTGAATCCAGCCAAGCGTCTTCCAAAATAGGGCTGCGCTCAGCCGGTTTCAAAAAGCTAGACAGCTTTGTGATTTACTCCAAAGACATATTTAGATAAATACAAGCTACAAAGATGTTGGAGTCCTGACAGAAACACAACTATATACAGAAAGCTCGAAGACTTAACTTTTTTTCTTGAATTGTGCTGCTTCCCAGGGTTGTGAGCTGCTTGATGTACACTAAGGGACTTTGAAATTCACAGTTTGGACCTGGTAGTGGGACATGGGTGAGCTGACCCCCCAAAGGCAGATCAGTCAGAGGAAGCTAATATTCTTCTACCAGAGAAATGTTAATGACCTGCTGTGCTGTTCTAGGTGGAGGCAGTGGCATTTGCCGGTAGCTTCTTAACCTTGTCAGACTCGAGGAAACCAAGTACATGTGGGTCAGGCAGAAACCAAAGCGGACATCTGC